CGTGCCGAGTTACAGGCTTGCGGGACAGCGCTTAGGGTTGGATCCTCGGGTCACGAAAGCTCTAGTGAAAAAAAGCCAACACCCGAATTCAATGAACAATTTTAATAAAAGGCGCTGAGACCCGTCCTGTGTTAGGACGGAGGGAACAAGCTGAAAGGCAATGCCCGTAGGTGCCGCTTTTTAAGTGTTCTTGGTTTTAATTTTTGGTAGGACAAAGCAGCATTATCCGTTCTGCAGCCCAGTGTGTGCCTCGTACACACTTTTCCAGGACTGTGTTTCCAGCACCAGAACATAATGTTCAATGCAAAGAAAAAAATACCTCCATTTTCAGTGTTTCTTTATAAACGTCAGAGAATATCCTTTTAATAGGTTGCAAAGGTGGTACATGTTGGATAAATCTACAGAAAACCGTGTCTAAGGTTCTCTGAGGCTACATAGGAAAGATGAAACTGCTGCTATTTTCTGACAATAAATGGGATGATCTCTCAAATAGTGTCTGTGAGGCCTGCAGACGTGGCTTGTCGTGTCACAGTTTGTTTGGGGTGATGGTGACAGAGTGGATGTTCAGGTGCTTCTCCTACAAAAGGTCTGGTTCTGTAGATGCAGAACAATTAGAAGAAACCAATTAGTAATTTCTGGGATGAACATGGAACTCCAACCAGCTGTTAATTTATTTACATTGATTGTTTCTGTAACAAATAAAAGCGGCAGTAGAGATCTTGGCTCCACAAGGGAATATTGAATAGTCAAGACAGTGCTGATCCTCCTGCCTTTATCATTTCTTGTCAACTGTGTTGTTGCTTATCTTAGAACACTTGATACTTCTCTCAGTGGCAGTCCTGCTAGGAGCGGGGAAGCAGAAACAGAAGTAGAACCAGGGTGTGTCTTAAGAAACCAAGATCCAAGAGATGATAGAACCAAAGCATTTGTGCCATCCTCAGGTGCCACCCTTATCACCATGTTACTTTGTGACTTGTATTTTGTGACTCCTTGTTGCTGAAATTCCATTTTTGGGGACTTTCTCTGGTGGCATTCCATGCTGGGGTATTTTGCTTTGGGCTTTTTTTTGTTGGTTTGGGGGGAGAGAGGGGTAATATGTGTTGTGATATATATGTATATGTGTTGTTTGAACTTTTCTCTCTCCATAGCTGTCTTCTCCTCCGCAGTAGAGAGTAACTAGTTCCTCTCAGATAGTAACATTTTCCTAATTGTTATTTTTAGCACCTATTTTCTTGACAAACTTTTAACCATTACAAATGTAAATATGTAGTGTTCAGAGACATATTTGCTTTTAAGCTTGGTAAATCTCACAAATGTGTAAGTAAAGGGAGTTGATACCAGTAAGTAAAGGAGGAAGTAACAGCATGTGGTGAATGACTTTGTATTAAGTTTATTTCATTGGAAAGATAGTCTTTGTGTCTGAGAGGTGTTAGAAGCTTTCTGCCCATCAAAAACAACCCAAGAACAGCCCTATGTTGTTACCCTTTTCCATAGAGAGAGGAACATTGGGAGCAAACCAACTAATGCTCTCTTGTTGTCAAACATCTTTTAAGAAGGTGGTTTGAAATTAATCTTTTTCTCTGAAAACAGACCAATATCTCTGGTTAGATATTGTTAAATCTCTCTTCATCCATTCCATGCTGTTGAATTTGCCTCTCCACTGACGTGCCTAGAGCACTACAGGAGGTCCCACTTTTCTCACATCTCAATCGGCAATGTTTGTTTTCTTTGCTAAAGCCCTTTTTGCTTTTCCCACCTGTTACTCCTAAGAGGTCAGGTACTGTCTCAGCTTGTTGGCTCCCATCTCTTACACTCATATGTCAAATGTTCTCTGGCTCATTTTCTCCTTTACATTTGTGAAATCTCCTCTTCAGTTTCCTTCTCTGCTTTGCCTATTTAGATGTTCAGGCTGCTCTTGATCTTTGACTACAGCGTATCACACTAAGCAGCAGCAGTCTGTAGTATTCACTCCAGTTTCTAAACAGTTCTTGTTTCTTGGATTCTATTGATGTTGGAATAGCGAATAATCCTTTGTTGTTGTACAGATAGGACAGGGCATCCTAGCTCAAGACTAGTGGTCTTAAGTACTTCCATAATATGGAAAGTGTATTATAGCCTTGTAAAATATTGTTCAGTTTGTCTACAGTCTGAGAGTCTTTCAGCCCTTGAAGTGTAAATCAAGTATTGGCATTGTCCCAATTTCTGTGCAAATAAAAATCAAGAATGTCCTTTAAATGCCTTAGACTAAGGGGCCAGCTACCTTGAGAGATCTGAGTATACATGTGTTTGCTGTCAATGACAGCAGTGAATAACTGGCTGTTTGGTACTGCTTCTAACTACTCAGTGCAGCCTGAGTGTTGACTTGCTGCTGTTAAACTTGAGCACAGCTTGAATTGGCATGGCAGGAAAGATGTTCCTCAAGCACTCAAAAATTAAAGTTCAAAATCTACCAAAGTCACTAGACCTCAGCTTTTTTGGGTAATGTAATATACATTTTAACTATCCTTATGAAGATGGCCACTTTTCCCATTGCTTTATAAAGGTTTCATTTCAAATGGGCTGGATATTTTTGTGACACACACACACAAAATAAATAAATAAAGTAATTATGAGACCACTGGTACTAACCAGATCCTCAGCAAAGCCTGATACTGTCTGCCTAAACTTGCATGGTGATTCCTTTGACATCCTCTAGAGTTCTTGTGAACACAGGTTGCTATTAGCAAGTAATCAGATGGACTGCTGTAGCAATACCTGTTCCACGTGCTGCATGGTTTTCCTGTGAGCATTTTGGTCCCTCCCCAGGCCCCAAGCAAAACCTGTCCGAAGCAAACAGTTTGCATCTGGAGACAGGAAAGGCTGTTACCGGGATGATGCAGATGTTCCTACTGTTGTGCAACTGAGTCATAATCCACTTGTTAATTCACCTGACCAAAAGTATTTGCTCTCATATAAATACTCTTCATCTAGATTTGTAGTTATGGAAAGCAGTATAATACTCAAAATATGTATCTTGGTTTTCTCACACAGTTTTTAATTTTCTATGTAAATATTAATCAAGAAAAAATACCACAGTTATACAAAAATACAAAAGTAAACGCAAGGAGGTAGCAAATCTTGAAAAACAGTAAAAGAGAAGGAGAGCGCATTATAAACTTATTATGAACTTGCATAAAAAGAAACTTGGGTGTCTTGGCTGAATATCAATGAATTTTTTAGAAGTCATACCAATTGTGTGAATCAGATTGTCTGGCAGTGCTGCTTCTTATCACTTGTAAGGGCTGCAAGATCAGACCTCTTTTAATTGATTTTTTTTTATGTTGCTGACCTCTTCACCTCAATTTGTGGGATACTTTATCCAAGTAAATTAAAACTAAGCTTTGCCTGGGAGGTAAAAGAAAGTGATGCTAAAATATGATGTCGAAAGGACCTAAGCATATTATATACATGTTGAGTCAAACATTGTGAAACCTGCATTTCTTTGGTTATTCCTCTGAGGTGGGGTGAGAAGGGAGAAACTGTTTGTACTTAATTGCTTTCACAGAAGTATTCTTGAGTTTTATCAAACTGCTTAATGTATTACATTTTTCATTATGTCACAAAACTTTTCATAAGGAAAAGGGCTAAAAAGGCATTTCTTATGAAAGTAATATTTTGTAGTTAAAATATAGTAACATAGATAGTCAAGTATAGTAACATAGCCCAAAGCAGTTGATTACACGTCTTTTATTTCCAGTTATCTTCTGCCCATGCTTTGATGCTTTGCTTTGGCTGGCCAGCTTCTGCTCCCACTGTGCACCACAGCACATGTCAGCAGGAGATCATGTCATTTGTCATGGAGTTCTTTGCAGATTTCCTGTCCAGACTCAACTGGCACACTCTGGCTCAAAGCTTCAATTAAACAGATTTAGTAAAGTAGTCTTGAATTACACCATTCTCATTTCAGCCAATACAACTTATTCAGGTTTATGAACAAGCAGAAGCCAATTTTCCTGCCTTATCTAGACCTGTTCAGGTGTGTTTAACCACCATTTTCCCCAGTTGTCCCAGATGACTCGTAGGCTACATCTTCCCTCTTTGCCTTCGTGCATAAGTTTCCTTCCAGTGGAACTGAGGGCATATGGAGGTTACTGCACATCCAGTTTTTGTCCCAACATGCAGTCAGAATGTGGCCAAAGTGCACAGTGTGCTAAGGGAAGAGTTTCTCCAGTCCACTGATTGCTCACTCAGTTTCTTTACATAGTTCTGCATTTAGGTATTAAAAATAAACGTACAGCAACCTCAAATGGGACTTAAGACTTAGTGTTTCCTGGTCCCAAATTTTATATAAAAACTCATATCCAAGGCTTACAAAAGCTGTATAGTTTTACTGACTTCTAAATGCATAATTTACTGAACTAAGAGTCTGCTGCTTCTTGCAATTACTTCAGGTGGAATAGTGACTGCCTTGTCCTCAAAAGTAGAGGAACTGAGTAATAAATCCTGTAAAGATTCAGCTACAAAATGAGACTAGTTACTATTGGGTTTTATAGGGAACGGGATAGTGAAGTTCAGACCTCTCTTTGTTTGCTGTGCAGTGTTTCATCACAACCTGTATTTTAAAAAGTGTAAACATATGACCTTCACACTTTCCTAATGTGACACACTGAGTCTTGAGGAACACATTTTATCCAGAAATACATTAGTTAGCAGTTAGACATTTAATTACCTGGGTGTATAAATGAGCGATTGTTGCACTGTCAGGCAAAACAGTAAAAAATATTTAAAATACTAACCAGAACGAAGCAATAACCATTTAATTGTCTGAAGTGAACAAGTACTTTTTATTTATCTGATACAAATCAGAAGTTTCCACTGCTGTTGAAAACCTGCTCACTAACATTACTATGTTAAAACCAAGGTATACCAACTATTGACAAACGCCATCCAATATCCAATTTAATGTATGTATTTTTCTTCTTATTTAATGCTATTGCTTTCCTAGATAGTGATGTTCTCATTGAATGCTTTAAAATATTATTAGAACTTAAGTTGTCTTTTCTGTGAATCAAGTTTGTGTATCTGTTTTCAGTTAGGTACAGTATGTAAATGGTTCAGTAAAATGTGTTCTGTGTCAAACCCAATAGTGTGTCAATGCTCGTTACACGATTGAATGGGCTTTTTAAAATTCATGAATTAAATTTTATTTGCCTTTAACTTTGTTTGCTCATTGGTTTTAATCCTGGAAAGCAATTGTGATTCTCTTCCTAGTTTATCCTCTCTATGGGCACAGAGGAACCCTGACTTTGCCCCCAGATTGCTGGCATGCTACTTTTCTTTGCTGTCCCTAGGATAATACAGTGTCCCTCTGCTGGTCTCCACTGTCTGGAAGCTCCTGATCTGAATACTGTCAAAGACAAGTAGATGCACTGGCAGAACATATTGCTGCCTAGTTCCTCTGCCTGCTTAGATGTCTACACAGATCTATAAAAAACCTGGTGAAGAGAGTCCTTGCTGGATGTCAAGCCCTGCCCTTTGGCTTACCCAGCCCTGCACGTTTGCTACTGCTGTGTCACAGCCAAGCAAAGGTTTCAGCCAGCTAGCTGAGAATTGTGACTAGCTGAAATTAATCTTTCTCCTCCTACTTGTAGCCTCTGCTATCTGCCATACCAATAGGCCCTACAGCCCAGTTGCCATCAGAGTATGGACAGGACAGATGAGTGAAAACAAAGTTTCGTAACTTCCTCAGTTAACCTTCCCTTTTCAACTGTGTAAAATAAACCAACCTGAGCACTGACTGATTTAAAAGGCTCCTGAATATTTAAAATATGCAGTAAAACATGCCGTGTCCCATGCTTAAAGCTCAACTATTGAAGCCACCCCAGTTCAGATAAACATTAAGTGAAACAGGTGAATATACTCAGGGCAGGTGAAGTGGCCTCTGACTTTGTGGTAGTTTTTCTTGGGTATCTCTAGCCTGTTGGAAGACACAAACAATTCTGTACTGTAATGCTCTAAACAAAGTATTTGAAGATTATGCACAAATTCAGGAAGTTGTCCTTACCTGGGTAGGTGCTTAAATCCCATTAGACTTTAGCACATTGTTAAATTTAAGTGTTTGCATAAGAACTGGCTGTTCTGAACTAAGACAGGCATTGTTTGGGGATTTTTTCCCTCCTGACTCTGAGAGAACAAAACCTGAGCTCGCAAAGCATGTAACAAGATTTAGAAAGGTCTTTCTATTTTAGATTAGTTACAGGAAGATAACGAACCACCACAGTTTAGTGCAATGCATGCTTCAATGCTTTCATATGCTTCATTAACCTGAACAGCCAGCAGTGGTTCCAAGTGTGGAGTATGACAAGATCTTTTGCAGTTGGTGTGCTTATCTAGTTTTCTTTCAGGGAGGTTATTAACCAAAGTTCAGTTTCAAAAAGAAAGTGTCTTTAGGTACAATAAACAGTGTGACTTGTAATCAAGAAATAGGAACAAAAGTCACAACTAGACCATGGGGTGTTTTCTTCCCTCCTTTCTTCCACTCTCAGTTTTCCTTTTATTTTGTTTTTTCTTTGAATGCTAGGAGGACATAGTGATGAATTGTTTCACAGCTCTTAAATATTACTAGAAATAAATTGTTAATAAAACTGAAAATATTTATAATAATAGGAAGTACCTGTGCATAGAACTAAAAGAAATAGTCCGTTGACTTTCAGAATGAGTATTTGCTTTAGAGATTAGTATAATTTCTAAACAGTTCCAGTTTCCAGGGCAGAAAGTTATATAGATGTATCTATTCGGAGAAACACAAGATTGCATTTTAAACTATATTAAGTATTGCCATCGTGGAATTACAGGAGCAATAAGTATATATGACAATGTGTAGTAAACAGAGGAAAAGCTGTACTAGAGATGAAAATGCACTGCAGAAGTTTTGAGTGCTATCACTGAGTCTGGCTGGTGGTAGGTTATTTTTCTCCTCTAGCTTGTAGCCAATGTTACCCCATTGAAATTTCCTAATATGATTTCAGCCCAACAGAGTAATTAAAAGTAAATTGTCAGCTTAACCTCTTAAATTATTATTTCTATTTTTCAGCAAAAAAAAAGAGAAGCCTTTACCTTCCTTTCCTTCTTGTAGTTTTGCCATAGCTCCTCATCTCGCTGTTTTCCAGTTTTATCCCAAAGCTTCCATTCCTGATAGAACCATCAAGAGAACATTGGTAGAACTCCCCTATGCTGATAGAACAGGGTGTTGCCAAGTCAGACTATCACTGGGGACAGACTATTTCACCATGCAGTTGAAGTCTCTTCCTCCTGGCCCTCCTAGCCAGGCTGAGCTATATTTGTGAAAATGCCAACTGCCTCTTTCCAAGTAAGCTATTGCAAGCAACTGGTTTGGTTCTGTGTAGATCCTTAGATATTTAGGAGTAACACTTTCCACACACTCACTAAAATCCATTTAAACTCAACTGCTATTTAAATATTCAGAGTGTTTAGCTTCAAAATGCTTCTAATTTTATCTTCTTAGGTTTCTGCAATTCTCTCAGTAATAAATACTACCTTTTTGCACAGCTAAATACAAGAAGTTCAGTACTGCTTCCCAAACTTACGTTTTTTGCCAAAGGTTTACTAATAGCTAATACTGCTCATTTACATAGGCACTAATAACACTTAGAAGATTTCATGTTCTGTTTTGAACTATTTATGTTTATAGTAACAAACTCTTCCTTCACTCATGGTGAGTGGATACTACATTCCTTATGTCAAACTCTTGCATCCCCAGCTGTTGAAATCAAATTAGATAAACAGTTATTAAGAGTCTTGTTATACTAACTGAACTCCAGTTCTGAAAGACTTAAAAAGACAATTTCCCTTTTCTGGCCTGAAGAAACAGGTAAGACCAGTTACAAATGCTGGCTTCTTTGGGTGCACCCAGTGGTAGCTGAGTATTCACCTTTGATTTGCCAGAGGCATCTATGATATTTTGGTAGGCTCACCTCTCAGTAAGCAAATAAAACTAGAATTCCGTGGTGCTTGCCAAAATGACAGTCTGGTCATGATGCCAGTAGTTTTGATTCACACTGACACTGAAGAGCTGAAAGAATTGTGAAGTGAAGGGATTACAATTTTTAGGCATCTGCAATTTCCTTACTGATTCCTCCTACAATACAGAATTTTAGTTTGGTTTACCAAAATCTTATGCTATTACAGCATTGGAAATGCCAATGGGACATCAGTTCCCAGCATTTAATTATAAAACATCTCCATTACAAAATTACTGATTCCCTTTTCAGAAGCAGTAAAGGTTGCATCCTGTGATAAGGTGTATTAATCCTAAGACTGGGCTTGCTCTTTGTTGTTTGCATCTTCCCAGGAGCATGTGGATCTTTACTGGAAGTTAAAACTTCCACTTTTTCTTGGTGCTATCTAGCTCCTAATAAAGGCAATTGGGATGCAGAGCAAATACACATCCATTGCTGTATCTTTAGTTTATATCTCTGAATTTGCAAGGTAAATCTCTACTGTGTTTACATGTATTGATGCTCTATTTAAAATCACTTTCTTGCTAAGAAAATGAGATTATGAATGTCTGTCAGTCACCTAAATAATCTTAAACCTTCTCTTCCCATTTTATTCGTATACATTTTAAAATAAAAAGCTAAAGGTTGAATTATGACATTAAAAACACAGCTTCAAAAGAAAAGCTTAAACAAGAAAGTGTATTTCTACATAGTAGTTCATGAGAGGGATCTTCCTTAGGTGCTCCAGTAATTTCACTCATTTAGAGTTCTAGGTCTGTAGCCTGATGCCTCATGACAGATTTGCCTTGGAAATCTATTTTAACTTTTCCCCTGCAGTTGTTAAAAAACAGATCCTCCATCTGTTTCATCATTTTTTATCTCTGATAGCTGGAAGTTCTGACAGTACTTGCTTCTTAGGAAAGTGGATCTTGTGTAAACACAACATTGACATTATCCGAGAGTACTGTGCAGAACAGCAAGGTGTCTGATAACCATGGCTGACGCTGTTTCTAGCATCAGTATGATTGCAGAATATTTCATCAAAGGTGGGCTATATATTATGAAGGTATCCTTCAATCCAGAGCACAGTTTCAGTTGTTAGTAAATTAAATATATCTAGGAGTTCAAATAACCATCTTTACTAATAGTTTTTAATATACTCCAGGCAATTCTTAACTCACAGATGAAGACTACATACCTTAATATCTGTATTTTAATTTTAGTAGTGTTTTATATCAAGGGTGAGCCATTACATAATTGCACTCTTTAGCATGACAAGGGTTATCAAGATGTGTCACTTAGTGAAAAGTGTTGTTTGCTTTACTGGATAGAACCTTCCCCTGCAATTTATAGTCTTCCACTGATTTTCTCCTTATGATGACTGTCATGTTCTTATGTTCAATTACAAACCTTTACCCAGCTGTCCTCACTAAACTCTGCTTCATAGTACTCTTCCAGACTTCTTCATTCCATGAATAAACTTTGAGCAGCCTCTCCTATTATTGTTGATATACTTCTGGTGATGTCTTCTTCAGGACTGTCTCCTATTCTTAAAGTTTTTCTTTATTCCATCATATAACCCACCTCTTTGAAAAGAAAATATGTTCTTATTGCAGGAAATGACTTAGACATGTACCAAAGCCAGTTCCTGGAACTTCAGCAGAGACTATTGTATGCTGAAAAAGAAAATAAAAAAAGATCATATGAACTGAGCTATGTCCTGGATGAAATTAAACGTGCAGTTGCAAAAAGAATGAACTTGACAACAAATCATACAGGTTTGTATGTATAAAAATGTACTGTGTTAATGTTTCCAAGTTGTGTGTGCCTGTGTTTCTTCATCACTGTTGTGAGGAGAAAAATAATTGATTTGATTATATTAGCATTAGGTAGAAGTTTCTACTCGAAAAAAAAAGGGTGGGGAAGTAATCTGTAGCTCCTCTGTGAGCAGGATAGGTTAGCAACTAAACAAACGAGGAGAGGAAATAAAGGGACACAGTACACTGCGGTGGGATCTTAGTGGCAAAGCTGTACATACTGCTGAGTTTCTTACTGTGCTTATCCCTCTCTTGCTGCTTCCAACTAAAGAAGCTGGTCTTTCCTGCCTTCACCATGCCACTGCATCCTAATAAATACTAGGGCTGTGTCTGACCTGGAAGGCAGGTACACCTCCTCAGATGTTCCACCATCCTGGTCCCCCTCCTGTCCTTCTAGAGTGACTTTCTGGGGGTACTTCTTGGCCCCTCCACCATCCTGCCAGCAGACACCGGGCACCAAGGTGCATGTGGTGGGTGCACAGGCTTGTCTCAGCATGCAGGCCACATACAGCTGGGTGCCTGCCTCAGCCCAGGAGCAGAGAACCCCACTAAGAATATTCCCTCTAGAATCTATTTTTATCTTGCAAGTAGTTTTTTAATAATCTGAAGGAAATGTGAATGCTTGTAAGTGATTCCAGTTGAAACCTTTGAGGGGGATTTATCTGCTTTTTGCTGTTGTGTTTTTTGGGGTTTTTGTTTTGTTTTCCCAAGAGGGACACCAACATGCAATTGAGTTTCCTTGTGATTCATCATCTTCCCATTGTTTAATGAAACTGCTTATTTATTAAAAAATTTATTAGATCCTTGCCCTACAGACTGTTGTAAATCCCCATCTATCTGTACACTGTAGTTGCAGACAATAGTTAGATTCTGTCCCTCAAAAAAAATTATGTAGTGGTGAAGGATCTGCCTTCCTCCCTCTTCAGATTGGAAGAACTACTTCTACGGGCAGAGAAGGAAAGCTAAAGGGGCATCTCTGCACTGGAGGCATTCCTCAGCACACCTGGCTTCACAAAAAGTCTGGATGCTACTGAAAGCTACTTTTTAAAAATCCTTATTTGCACTCAGTACAGAAGGCTGATGTCTGATTAGAATAGGGGATTAACCAGGACTGTTGCAGAGGAAGAAGGAACAAGGTGCATTCCTGTTTTCTGTAGTCAGCTTTGTTTCTTATAATGTTCTTCCCTGCCTCTTTTTGTCTGCTTATTCAATATTAATACAGTCGGGCTGTTCAAATGTGTATGAACAAATGCCTGAGTGTTGGCAGGGTTGTGGTCTTGCAAGCTTTAGAATAGAGACCATGTTGTCAGCTACCAGTAGCCTCACATAATGTGGATAAATAATTATTCCCTAACGCATCTAATAGCAGTAAAGTACAAGTTCCCCTTCTTTCTGCTCTTTGTTCTTAATGTAATATCAGCCAGTATTAAAGGTCTCAAATCAAAGCAGAGGTTTCTTAAAATGACTGAATACTTTTCCTTTTAGTTTTACTTACTCTTCTACTTCCCATTCCAGCCAAGTTTTATTGTTCAACAGAAATGAAAAGTTTTATTGTACACAATAAATCCCTTGCCCAACCCTTGGTAGATTGTACTTCCAAATAAAAATTGAAAGTCCTTGAAAAGTTATGAATGTGGTTATTAAAAATAATTTTTAAAAAGTTTATATGCAGCAAAATTCCAGTATATTTAATGTCAAAGTGGAAAGGGAGGCATTGTCGGTCCCTCTTTCATACGCAAATGTCTGGACATACAGATATTTATATGTTTGTGTTGTGGTGTTTTTTTACTGTTTTCTGTAGAGTGGAGAATGTAGAGCCCTAATTTTCAGTGGGAATATCTTTTGGAAGTTGAAAAACTTCAAATATTGTCTATTCAGTAAGCCTCTATCTTCCTTGATGTAAGCTGAGTGGATAAAGCTGAAGATGGTAATTTCTAAGACTTGTTTTAAGTAACTTTAGAAGGGTGGTTAGTTTGGGAAGTTATCATATGCATTTATTAGGGAAAATAACTTTACATCTAAGTCAATAAGGCTGTTGCTTTTCTGACTGAGTGAAACTGTGGGTTTTCAAGTTTTCTGCACCTTGGAAATTATGCAATTTTTTTTTTTGGCTAAAACTAATGGAAGAGGTTTTCTAATATCACAAAGTGATATTACACTAGTCTCTGCACAACTGATAAAATGCCTGGAGAAGGCACCCACTGAAGTATGAATTATCTTAGCTAAATTCTTAGGAACTGTATTTTTCTTTCAGGGCAAAAACACACTTTGTAGGTAGCTACAATGGGGTGTGGTACAGAAAAATTCAGCAACAGAGACTAACAGACAAAATTCTGCTATGGCAGCCATGTGCTACCTGTGTCAGGAATGCAAGATTTAACCTTAGAAACAACTGACAAATGAAAGCTGGAGTGATCTTCAGTTTTGTTTCCAAGCAGTCTTCTTAAATATTAGAAAGATCATTTGCTATTCTTCTTACATACAGTCTTAAGTTTGATCTATTCAAATACTTTTTTTTTTTAAATTGCATGGTGCACATCATCTCTACCCCATGGGTATCTTACATTAAGCACAATTTTTGTGCAAGCTTATAATTGATGTTATTATTATTTTAGAATTAAGTTGATCAGGTCTTTATTACATTTATTTTAAATAATTTTACCATCACAGGAGCATTCAGGAATGGTTATATCAAGGAAGGTAAATTAGTAAATTAATGATACCTGAGTTTTAGATGGCTTGTTTTTTAAAACTAGGATTTTTTTAATAAGGTCACACAAGATGTGATGCTTCAGGAGATGGTTTAATGGTCATGGGGCTGTAGCACTGATGGTTGGACTTGATGATCTTGAAGGTCTTTTCCAACCTTTATGATTCTAAGTTTTTTTCAACAGGAATAAATATTCTAGTTATCTTAATTTTTTTTGTAAACTAGTAAAGAAAAAAAACTTCTCTACTTTTCTCTAACTACTACAGCCTTTTGTTTCTTGAATGGTTTCTAAAACTAAAACCACCATGTGTTACGTTTTAGGAAAAGCACTTAAGTTAGTTGAGGAATTAAGAAAGTTATTAATCAGAATCTGTGTTCCTTTTAGTTTAAAAAGTTGCTTGTCAACTGTGCAAAAACCCAATTTTTTTTCCTGCTGCCTTCAAAGTAACTGCTTATTGTATTTAAAGATGGCTCAGTCTGTTTAGGCACGGGGAAATGAAGGGGGAGTTCCCAGGACATTCAAGCTTGGAGCTCTACTCCAGTGCCTGGGTGGATGGGGATGGTATTGGGCAATTCCCAGTTTATTTCTGCAGGAGGGTAATACATATGACACATCATCACTTCTGAGGAGTAGTTCCTATTGAATAACCTTTTGTGTGGTCGTCTGCTAGTATTCAGCTGAGGAAAACAGTTGAGGTAATGGGCTTCACTGCTGGCTTTTAATTTTATGTGTATATGTGGGTTTGTTCTTTCTTTAAGATGATATGAAGTGGAAAGCATTAAACATCACCAGAAAACTCCCTGTACATCTTACAAACATGTACTACTACCTGCCTCACCTTCGAGAAGATGAAGATGCCGTTTTCCCAAATGTTATTTTTGGGCAACAGAGAAGAGGAGGTAGGAAGTAAAGTTTGGCTTATACTTTCTTTATGCTTACGCCTTAAAATAAGCTCTAGCAATGAAGTGTACTCAAAGCTAAGAGGGAGTTTTCTCCCTATTTAATGTTGCCAAAGTGAATAAATTTTAATGGGGATGGCAAAGGCACTTTTACCACTCCCATCCCATTTTCAAGTCTTCCCCAAACTATTTGGATAAGCCTTTTAAAATATTAACTAAAATAATCATAACTGAAAAGCAATATTATTTTTTTTCTTAGTAATGGATTCATATGGCAAAGATACATTGAACTGCTTTTCCCACTTCCCCTCCAAAATTAGTATGAGTAAGGAAATCAGAGAGGATCTACAATTAGCAGTTTGCTAAGGTTCCAAGCAAATGGAAAGGTGATGTGATCATTTGAAGAATATTGATAAATCTTCAGTGCAGCTTTTTCATTCTCATGAAAAACCAGCTGACACCTGCACAAATCATAATGAATTCCAGTGAACTAGAATGTGAATTATTAAGTTACATTTTCTCCTAATTGTCATGTGATAGGTAACAAGAACATTCAAAAGCAATAAGCAAACATGGAACTAATCAACTATTTTGCTAAGATTAGTATTTTGTTGGAATTTTTACTTTTCTCTAGGGTGATTTTATATAAAGAAACATTGCCAGCAATTTTAATTTAAGAAAAAAAAATAACCTGGCCCTGCCCATGTCAAGGGCTATTGGTTCTACTGGAGTAGTGCTGTGACTCTCACTGGAATATGAGGTGCATGAGTCCATAGATCACTGTGAGTATACAAAAAAACATAGGTAGCCAGCAAAAGTATTTGCAAAAAAAACCCTTTAGAAAAGTAGATACATTCATGAACAAGGTGGGGGGAGGGAGAGGGGGAGGAGGGAAAGGAAATAATAACTGATAAAAGAATGCTGCATTTGCTGCATGTTTATTTTTCATATATTTGTTCACGAAAATCACAATAGCAGGACCATGCTGTAACAAGTACAGGTTGACCTTCAGTGTGTAAAACCAAACAAAACCCCAGTGGTTCACCAGGTTATGTGCTGGGCAGGTTGGAACTTTGGAATTTTTGAGCTTGCACAAATTAAGAGGTCTAGAGCAAGTCTCTAACTACACCTACTCCTTTCCTTCAAAATCTCCTGCTTCCTTAACAGCCTCATGAGGTTTTGGTGGATAGGAATCTTTTGCAAGGACTGAAAACTCTACAAATTTACCAAGCTGTATTAGATCACTGGTCTCAGTAATACCCTCACCAATGAAAAAAGAGAGGTCCTGCTTACAATCTAATGATGTAATATAGCACAAATTTGCTACTAGGATAGTCTTTGACAGAGACAACTTCAATTCCTTTCTTAATAATAAAAATGCCTGTGTTCCTTTCTTCTTATTGTTGTTTATGTCAAAGCCATGGTTTCATATAATTGAAACTGCTCAGAAAGATTTTAGAGATTTTGAATTTTTTATTCCTTTCTAAGATACACAGCACTAACTTCCTGTGACAACTTGCTTAGTAAAGCAATGCTGGTTTAACTCTTACTACTCTGATCTCCAACCCGATACCAAGAGCTAGTGCTTATTTTGCAATACCCACTTTTGAAACTCAGCAGCAAATACCTATGTGTTTGCTAGAGGTAGTATTATCTCCTAGTTCTCCAGTGTAGACAGTTTACACAGTGTAGACCTGTTGCTTATAACATGAATGTAGGTGTCTCTAACCTCAGCTTAGCTGGAGGTCTCTCTTCTTCCAGGTAGTAAAGCGAGCGCTGTCACAGTGCTGCAGAAATATTAACAGTCACCAAGTCTCACGGTCACATCAAGTCAAAATTAAAATGTCATTTCATTTTCCCTTTACCTGACTTAAAATTACATGGCTTGTGGACTTCTTTCTTTGCAGTCTCACTGGTGATGGGTATTCCTACTGTGAAAAGGGAAAAACAGCATTATCTGATTAACACGCTGCATTCTCTTCTGTTTGAGCTTTCTGAAGAGCAAAAGAACGACTGTGTAATAATCATCTTTGTAGCAGAGGTAAGTTTGCATGGAAATGTGCAGTATGCTGATAGAGAGACAATGTGGAGATTTATGTCTTAGTGTAATAGTGTAGGAGAGGCTGCAAGATCCTGTTAGCCAGGCCTTTGGGGAAGATTTCATCAGGACTGGAGGAGATAGTGAGCAATTAGTGCCTCAGTGTTCATATATGGAAAAAAACATGTAACTCAGGTGATGAAAGGGTAAATAGTCATCTTACAGTTACAAACATTGTTGTTGCAGTCAGGTTTTCAAATAAAACAATTTGAACTCATTATTTAGCTCTAAATGTAAACTTCATCTAAAAACAGTTCAGATTATTTATCTGCTGCTTTGATATTATATATCTTACAAAGTACCTTGACATGCTAGAGTTCTGTCTTCTGCATGTGTATTGGTATTTCTTGTGGAAAATAAAACTGTCTCAGAGATTTAAATAGGTCCATGATTGGGAGAGTAAACAGTGCTCAAAGTAAAATATTAAGGGCAAATGAATTGTTTTCTCATTTCAAAATGTCTTGACACATGGGAAAAAAGCTACAGAAGGGAATTAGCTAGTGATCGTTACTTGCAGGTAAAAAAGCCTGCAATTTTTCAGACTTCATATATTTTCTTCATATTTCTCTGTCCTTTCATAACCAACATTAAATTTCATATGTTTTAATCAATAGTTAAAGTTTGCTTTTTAGTTCAGTCATAGTTTAGAGTAGCTTTTGCAACTGTAATACTATCAAACAGAACATAGTTCACTTAATTTAGTTTCTGACTTCCACCTTTGTGTTTTGATCACAATGATAAGTAGGCAGGCCCTATTTTATTGTTTGTAATTCCTCTTCAGCATAATTTTCAGGAGCTGAATTTATTTTAAAGTTGCTATTTCCTAGTGAAGACCCCTGCCAATTATGAGCTCTGCCTACCTGCCATTCAGATAAACCACCTATTACAGAATTCTTTGAGTTTTTAAGGGTTAACTTCTGAATAGCAGAGTTTTCACTGTGGACAGTCCTAATGTGGCCCTCTTTAAAAACATGAGCTTTAGTTGTAGGAGTCCATGTCTGCCCATTTAGGATTAAACTGCTGTTGTAAGAATCAGTCTCTATCCTTTCTCCAGTCCCCAAAGTCATATTCTTGCAGCTTCTGTTTTTCAGGCCATGCAGTAAGTTAGAGCACGTTGATGATGCTGATATGAGAGTTGATAAGAACATTTCAGTATCAGTATGAGAGGAGGGCAGGTGTGTTCACTGATTATGAATCCTTTTTTTCCAGAAAGTTTCAGAAGATGGAGTTAAATGTTTACATTATGGGTTAAGTTACTCTAACTGAAAGTGACTTGTAAAGCTGTTGGGTTTTTTTCTTATCACGGTTCTTTACTTGCCACTTCACACAGTTTTTATGTATTACAAATTATAGCTGGTAATGTTTATTTGTGACTTTTAAAAAAATCTGAACTGCTAAGACAGGTGTTGTGTTGCTTTGGAAGTCACATCCATACAACTTACCATTCTTTAACATAGTTAAAAAATGTGTTTTGCACACTAAAACTGTAAGTTTTGGTCAACACCAGCAATGAATAAGTATGTCCTCAAAATTTCTAGACAAAAACCCATAAGTTTGTTATACTAGGAAGAAACTCTCAATAAAAAAAAAATAAATACAAGTATCTTTAGCTTTAGAACATTCTGCTTAGGTGACTTTTCTCAGCAGCCTCAGGCCTCTTTTGTCATTTTTGATTGATTAACCTGAAACTGCTCTTTTTACTGACAGTTACATGACTGTGCTTTCCTGACATAACCGAAAGCTATAGAGCAGAATTTTATACAGAAAATGGCTTGGCTTCCTACAACAACAGTGAAAAAAACAAATGCAGGAGCCATAGATGGAGATAGTTCAGTTCACTTTCTATTACATTGAAAGTCCAGTTGACTGGAAAAGCCCACACTGTCATTCAGTAGAAATGTTGCTGTAACAGATTACTTTTGTTTGGAATGAAAAGAATTAGAGAATAAAAACAAAGTGTTTGCATAGAAATATTCCCCACAAAATGTTGCTTAATACACAAAAGGGTGCCTTGAAATGAACCCCCCCTTCTTTTCTTTAGGTGAATGCAGAATATGTTAACAGTGTTGCAGAAAGTATTAAAACCAGGTAAGTCCTATAAACTGTAACACCCAACAGCTGGTGAACACATTTTGAGTTTTTATGGAAAAAAAAAAATTAGATCATTTCAGCAATAAATTACAAGTCTACCATACTGAAATGGAACTGCTCAGAAATGAGGCAAAGGTGCATGCTTAGTGTGTGTATCACAACCTACTGTGAAATTGAGAACAGAAGGATGAATATCAGTTTTTCCTTACTTCAGAAATACGCTTCAACTAATCAGGCAAGGTCTCAGCTTAAGCCTCTGATAAATATTTACTTGAACCTAAGTCTTTTCCCTGTGAAATTAATGATGCAATGCAAGGCACCTGAGGTTACATATATTAGGTCCCCACTGACTTCACAGCCCTGCAATATATTCTGATGTCTGTCATGTTTTCTAGATGTCTTTCTTTCTTGGTTTTCCCCTTTTGCATGAAGACAATGAACTTGGGACAGCAATGAAATTATATTTATGTTAAATACTATTATATGATGGGTAACATGAGATTGGCATTCTTTGCCATGACAAATTAAGAGCTATCAAAGAATGCTTGGTTCCCACTGCAATTTTGTTTGCTCTTATTATTTTTTTCCCAGAGACATTAACAACATCATATGCATGTTAAAAATCTTAGAGGAGCTTGAAAGGAACAGCTACTAAATGAAAATGTTTGATCAAAAACTTATACCCGTTGGTAGATTTATTTTGTCTCACAAAACCTGCTTTCTAAGAAATGCTGCAGTGTAGCTAACAGTCACAAAACAGAAGGCCCTGAAGTATGGGTGACTGAAAGAAGCAAGAGATTAAATGTTCATGGTGCTGCAGTGTAAATGTTGCTGGTTTCTTTGATGCACAAGCTTAGTTGTGAATTGGTTACTCTGACAGGAGTATTCACCAAGTATTTCAGGTGAAATAGACTTTCCTCTCTCCTCTTATTCAAAATGGCTACAAGAGAGCTCTAAATCTTTGCATCAAAGTCTTATTAGAATCATAGAACCATTTAGGTTGGAAAATATGATAATTGGGTATAACTGTTAACCCAGCACTGCCAAGTCCCTCATATCATGTCCCCCAGCAACACAACTACACATCTTTTAAAAACCTCCAGGGATGACAACTCCACCACTTCCCTGGGCAGCCTGTGCCAGTGCCTGGCAACCCTTTTGGTAAAGAAATTTTTCCTAATATCTAAACCTCCCCTTGCACAACTTGATGCCATTTGTACTTGTTCTGTTGCTTATTACTTGAGAAAAGAGGCAGACACCCACCCAAAACAAAGAAAATTGAACAAAATCCCTGGAGAGGATGCCCTTTTCCTTCACTTCTGAGGCTTTGCTGCACATCATGCCCCACTCACGGGTTTCCCTGACTGTGTTTAGGGTTCAGGTCCCCCAGGCTGATCCTGCTAAGTAATAGCAATAGCTTTCTGCCCTGCAGAGGGTTTATCTCAGCTGGGAGTACTGCAGCTAGGGCAAGGTGAAGAGGCAGTCCTCTGCAGTATTATTGAGCACCACCAAGGTACAATATGTCTATTTTACTAAGCACACAGATAATTTTTATGATTTTGATGTGATTTTTGAAAATATTACTGCAGAGTGATCTGCTTAATTTTTAATGGTAGCTTTTTTTCATTAATCTTAGGAAATGGGCAACTAAGTTCTGAAAAATGCCTTATTTCAAGCATCCGACACTTATGAAAAGCTGAAGGGATTTTTTGGTGTTTTTTTTTTGTTGTTTGGTTTTTTGTTGTTATTGTTTTTGTTTTGCTTTTTTCATTTTTTGTTTTACATATTCTGGAGGAAGCAGGAGATTTGATTTCCAAGTTGATTACACATTTTTTCAAAGACATTAAGTGGAAAGTTTACTCCTTGGAGCAGAGACTAGATACAGACTCTCCGTGCCAAACCTTCATTCCAGGACAGTATTATTTTAGCTAGAATGTAGAATTAGAGCAAGTGTAAAGAAGCTAGGAGCTCTCATGCAAGGGGGAGCAGTTGTGTGTAGTTCTAGATAGTGGATTTGCTTGTGAATTACTTCTATGTTTTGGCAGCCATCTCAGGATTACGACGAAGCATCTATAGTTGCAAGAGGGGCAGGGTTTCTGAGATGCATTTCTCTTCAGTGTTTTCTGAGACTTCGATGAGTTACTGTCCATGTTGCCAAAGACTCCTTCTTGGTTCCTAATTTACAATCTATGTTACTTAGTTTTTTTGCTAGAGTTATGAATTCTGCTGATGGAGGAGCAGACCTAGTTCTCGGGAGCTGCTGTCTGTGAATGCCTTCAAAAGTCTTTTTGAGGAATGAGATCTCACTAAGCTTCTCTTCACAGCTTCCCCAGAGAAATCCAGTCCGGAGTCCTAGAGGTTATTTCTCCTCCTGCTTCTTATTACCCAGATCTTTCCAACTTGAAGAAAACACTTGGAGATTCAGAGGACAGAGTAAGGTAAGATAGCTGTATAAAACCTAAGAACTTTTGCTAAGAGTATAAAGTGAAAAATTCTTCAAAAGTTAACATTGTTCAAGCTGATGATGCTATTGTATTCAGAGCCAATGGACCTCAAGTGTACTTTTTAAAAAAGTACACAAGGGGATCTTGCAAAAAGCTGTGCTGCACATCAGCTTCAGGGTGACAGCCAAGGGTTCTCCTTTGGGTCTTGCCTCTAGGCATCCTTTGGATTTTAAACGAGATGGATAATGCCAAGAGGTGACAGGCTAGATGAACTGGTTATCAAGGAAAAAATAGGAAAATCTTTTATGTCGTAATAAAGGAGAGACTCTGTGAAGGCCCAAAGGAAACCCTGTGTGGCCCCTTAGCTAACTAGTAACAACTACTGTGGGTTTCATTAATGACCTCATTTTTGGTGATCACGGGCTTTTTAAACTACTGTTATTCATGTACACTAACTGGTGATTTCATTCACTCTTGTGCCCCAGATTCACTGAGACAGAGGTTATAACCTAACAAAATTTCCTTTTGTTCAACAATAACTAATTTATCAGAAGCTACTGCAACAGTCCAGCAAGAGAACTGCTGTACTGAGGTTGAGGCTGGAGGAAATCCACTCTATGTAGGCATTTTGTATTAGGTTTATAGATAAACCTTGTAGCTTTTGGAGCATAAACATGTTGACATACTTAAATTTCAGAGAAGGATAGACTTGAGTCAGACAGAATTTTATGTCAACTAAGTACTGATAAATTAATCACTACTCTTTTAGCATTGATTATCAAATACCAACTTCATTTTTTGGTATAATGAAAGCCTGTACTTTGTAGAGAAAAAAACTGTGTTTACATTTAAATCTGAAAATTAAGTTTATCAACTTGTTTCAGGGCTGTTCACCAGGAAAAGCACTTAATTTTAGGTCTTAAATAATCATTGTGTGTTGATCTCTACTGTTCATAATATGATGAGTAGAATCTTCAAGTCATTTGACTTGAAAATAGTTGTTAGACATTTTGTTCCAAGATGCATTGATACAGATCAAAATTTTTTGCTTAGTTAATGTTAACTTTTATAGGAGAGTGAAATTCTTTGCGAAGGTTTTCACTGATTATAGAGGATTTTCAATACACTTAATGAGTTAGAATATTGAGCCTTACAATTTTACTGTAGAGAGACAATTGCAGAGGATTAGAAATGCTTTTGTTACAGAAATAACTCTTGCAACCCCCCAAAAAGCTTATTAGAATTTTCTACTTATGTTTAGGTGGAGAACGAAACAGAATTTGGACTATAGCTTTTTAATGCTATATGCCCAGCCTAAGGGAACATTTTATTTACAGGTATGTTCATATTATTGAGTAACTGTGATACATCTGTACTAATTATTAGCTTTGGCAAATTTAATTTGTTTCAAAGGCCTCCATAAAAACGGCACATAATCTAATTTCTTGTGTATTTTGACTGTGCTTTTTATAAGCATCCGCGTATTTCTGTGCTTACATACATATTGCACTCAGGTAATATTTGATAAAAGCAGTTGTACCTTCCTGTCATTTGAGAGGTTGACTAACAAGGTAGCTGAAGCATGAAACTCTTATTTGATTAGGTTAAGAAAGTCAGAGTTTAATTTGTTTTCACTTGGTGGAGCAAGACAGGTGGTAGGTCCGGGTCACAGCGCAGATCACAATGGACCAAAAAACCTTTAAAGGACTTATCCAGGTAAGGAAACATACCAGTATAATTACACTGGAGACAATGGTATGCTGCAAGTTGATGCAGATCCTAAATTCTCAGGAAGATTGAGAATCCACATGCATTCAGGCTTAGGTTTAGCCATCATTCTGGATTTGTGCTGGTTTGCACTCCATGAAGACAGTAATCACCACCAGAGATTCCAAAATGTATCATGACTGTACAATAATTGAACAGATCCATAACATTTTATGTAGCTTGTGAATGTCAAAAGTTTTTTTAAAAGCTCAGAACAGCATTTTGCTTAGTTCTTAGTTTAAACTCAACCAAACTTAGTTTTAGCTCAAACCAGGACACATGTGTCTTCTCCTGCTCCAACAGGCCTCAGACTCTGTGTCACATAATTACATCACAAGGTACCCAGAACTAAAGAGAAGACCCCGAGGGCAGGCATCTCATGCAGTTCTTGTCAGCATTTGCCACAAATGTATTTGAGCTGGGCTATTCAAGAGTGCATTGTCAAATTTGGCACGGGCACTCGGAAGATAGGGGGGCAAAGAGAAACGTTGTCTACTGAACACTTTGGGTTTATTGGAAAATGAGGTATTTTCCCACGACTACCTTATATTTTTAAGAACACTACCCAAGTTTACTAAGTGCAATAGAGAGCTGAGGCATGGAAAACATGATGAAGGCAAATATTAAGTATGCTGCCAGACACTTACTATCCCTCCCTATTATGAAGTTCTCCAAGTGTTCATGTTTTCATGGAAATTACTTTCTTTTGTATTTATATTTTTAAAGTTTTCTTATCTGGGACATTATATAAGGACTGAGCTGTGTTATTTGGAGCAAAGCCTGGATTGTGATGGTCTGGTGAGAGTTAAGGCTTTATTCAGAATCTTCATAGAAAGAAACTGTTTTCCTCATATCCTTGTCTAGTATATCCTCTTTTTCACTTATGTGTCCAGCCTGCAGCTGCTTCTCTAGCACAGATGCTGGTCTGCCCATCTGTCTATGGAAAATTCTCCATAGACTACTGAAAAGAAGGAAGTCATGCTGCCTTAAAGATAGTTATTATCTGCCTCTCTTTGGAAGCCTTATACTAATGGAAAGCAAATAACCTAAAAATCCCTTTCCTCAGCCTGGTCCAAAGATTTACTTCAGTAATCTTAGGGAAAACTTGAAACAGATTAGATTTTTTTTTTCTACTTTGTCAGAAATAATGTAATCTGGGTGACTGATATTAATCTCAGAATTTTGAAAGAAGATAAGCATACATAATTAGTCTTGATGTCTACGGAACAGTTGATGTCATGAATCAGGCATGAATCTTTGCTGAATAAACATGTAAACACTCCTTCTAGGATACTGCTGAATCAGGATTTAAGCAAGTATCTTTGTGAAGTCCATTGAAGCTAATGGGGTTACACTGTGAGTGAACCTTACCTACTGATCAAACAATCTTCGAAAACAGACAGTTAATCCCATCAGTCTTCCTATCACTTCTGCTTGAAGCATCTCTCCTGCTTTGCCTGGGGTTTTTGAGCTTTTTTTGTTTTGGTTAGGGGTTTTTTGTGTGTTTGGTTTTTTTTGTTTTGTTCCTAAACCAGACACTGCTCCTTTCAGGCTTTTTTGCTGAAGTTTTCTTAATCCATACAAAAAAAAGAAGAGAACTTTGAAATGCTTGTTTCCACTTTCACTATATTTCCTGGAATCTATCAGAGCCCCTTGAGATACTTGTAATAATGTCAGAGACAAGATAATGGGATCTTAACATAGCCATAAAGCAGGTAGTTGAATCCCAACCCAGTAGCGAGGAGATGCATTTGTTCTTTGTTTCTGTGTAGACTTTGCTGATTCTGAAGTGATTAAGCATTTCAATTCTTTGAGAAACCCAGATACAGCAGTTCTGGGGAAGTGTTTTCTATTAGTGGTATTTAAGGCCTGAGCAATAGCTCAGTGAAGTCATTAAGAGTCTAAATTGATATTTTTTTTCTTCCCCGCATTAGATTCCAGGTCAAGCCTGTTATTTGTTAGAATTCTGAAGAGGAATAACATTCATGAAAGTGTATTTTTAGCTGGAAGTTTCTTTATGCTTGCACTTAAAAAAATAAATCCACAACAAACTGTTGGAGGTTTTCTGTGGAAAATGACCGAATAAGATTTTTCAGCCAAATAGTCATCACACATTCACTGAATGGTAATTCAAAATGCAGAAATACCCTTACATAATATAATAAGGAAGCTGCTTTCCTGTATGATGTCTACCCTTCCATTGTATGCTATCACTTTTTTGTTGCTTCTTCATTTTTACGTGTGCTTAGACATGTAAAAATACCTTAGTAACCTTATACAGGTAACTTACATTGAAAAACAAATGGAAATCCATTTGCTGTCTGTCATTTAGGAAATTAACATAGCCTTTCTGTTGTGCATGTACTTTTTCTTTCATCCCAAAGTAGTGACGAGTGATGGGAAATTAGCTGCAGTTATGTTCTGCTGGCCTTCTCATGGCAATGGGGCAGATGGTCTAGACAGGTAATATATTAAATGTCCTGATGCAGCTGTGTAAGCCACTCCTTTGGTAGAGAAAAGCATATGAAAAACATGTGGCTGTAAGCTGAAAACAGAAAAATTCAAATTAGTATTTGGGTACTACGTACTAAACGTTCAGAATCATTACATACCTAGAATAACTTCCTGAAGAAGAACTGATACTGAAGTGTCTAAGCAATGGCAGATGCTCTTCAAGATGCACTTCAGCTGAACACAAATTACAGAGCTCAGTACAGGTTAAATAAGCGACTTTTAATGGCCTGTTCTACACAGGATATAAAACTAAATTCTCCAATATTTGTTCACTTTTAACTGTCAGCTTCAGAAAAGACTGTTTTAGCCATCCCAATATGCAAAACTACTTTCTGTTCATAACTACATTCACACCCACTTTACATCACAGCCTTTATATGTTTCATGTTCACTACTTTTGTACACTTTTTCTAGTGTTTCTTGACATGGTGGTTGCACTAGGAGAGATACTCCTCTCTCTGCTTTTCATCCTTTTAGGGGTGTCCCTAAATTTCTTTCTAAGGAGTCTCTGAAACTCTCTTTGATTCCTTTCTCTTCTCCCTTTATATCTAGCTACTGGATAATCCTCTTAACTTATTTAATTTTATGCAAGATTTTATGTAAGTTGATGTTTTGGGGTTTTTTGTCGTTCTTTTGTGTAACTGTCACCTCAGCTCAACCCCCAGATCTCAGAATCTGTTAATAAGCATTAATCTTGATCAGCTCATCTCCAGCTATGTATTTTTTGTTAGCTTAGCATCAGCAAAATCTGACAGGGTCAAAACAGATCTCTTAATCTTGTCTTTCAAACTTCATTCTACTTCCTCCTAGGTTCACTCTTCACAACACATTTCTCCCCCACCAGCCCTACACTTGTAGTAATGGCCAGATTCAGCTAAAAGCTGTGAATCAGTTGAGGATGCAAAACCAGCAGGAATCTATGCTTTTTTTTTTTTTTTTTTGAATAAAATTCCGGGGCCACCAAACAGACACC